GGGCGACCGAAACTGACAGAAAGCTGCTTCTAGCCAACAAGGGTAGAATACAGTTAGGCGATCGGTTGGTTCGAGTGCACCAATAAAGTGCAAAAACGCAGACGCGCAAATGTATATACGGAATTTAGGAACTGTGAACGGTCGGAACCAATCGAAACAGAGGACATTGGTTGGATATTCTAGGCGAGCTGATCCCAGTCCGTGATGACCAATCATACTGAAGGAGAAAGAGTGAAGAATCTATGGCTAACTCCGACTCGTGTGATGGCCGCGACCGGATTTGGCAGCGTTGATAGAATGACTCCTAAAATTGAATTCATGCCTACAGCCCAACCAGAATCATAACCACTAACCCTGATCCTAGTCATAGCGCCTGGTCCTCGACCTCAAACCCAACACTCGCTCTAACCCTAACCCCTGGCCCTGAATTCTAATTACAACCCATACTTTCAACCTCAGCTCAAACTCTAACCGCTAACCCTAACCGTAACTAATAACCTCCTAACCCTAAGCCGAACGCCAGTCCTAATAGTAACACTTGACGAGGGAGTGACGGGGAATGGGGGAAGGAGAATGAGCAAATCAAGCCGATCCAAATTACATAAGTAGGTAGTTTATGAAAGAAAAATCCAAGTGGGGCCACATACCCGATCGTTGCCGACACCGGAATGAGGAGCTTGATGTGTACCAAAGCCAGATTGTTGTCGCCGGCAGCAATGACCGCTGGAGAGGCCAAGGAGTGTGTTGACCGTAAAAAATCATGTCTAAGAGAGAATGAGACAGTGGTGTCAGATGTTTTCATATGCGAGTCGGAGAGAGGTCCGGACCGATTGTGGCTACTGGCGTGCGTTGCAATGGAGACTAGGTTGGGTGTGTCTGTGTGTTTTGTTGGTCAAAATCATGGTTATTGTTGTGTGGACCAGGGGATGGGGTGGAACGCCTAGGTAAGGATCCGTCCGAGCCATCCACCTGCGGCCTCCCTCGTCTCCGGTCTTCTTGACTCTGTCTTGACACCGGGCTCAGGCGGGGGGGGGAGAGAGTGTAGGTAGATGCAGCGCAAGTCTATTGGCACTATAAACCCCTGCGCAAGTCACCGTCCCTGCTTCCACCGTCGCAACTGCAGCTGTGGGGCACACGGTGGACATCGTCGAAATCGACGGTCGAACTGTCGAATGTGTGTGTGTGTGTGCCCTCAAAACGGGCCACGTGTTAGATGCGCTGGACCAACACGGGGGCCACATCGGACTCTGGCAGGCGTTATCTTTGCGTAATAACAAATGCCAACATTTGCGGGGTGTGCTGGCGGACCCTGTTGTCGGCATTCGTCGCACAACTGGACCACTGCCTCCACCCTATTGTTTTGTGGTCAAAGTCCTGGTCTTGGTGTGTGGACCAGGGGTGCGGAGTGGAGCGCCAAGGCGAAGACCCGTCCGAGCCATCCACCTGCGGCCTCCCCCGTCTCCGGTCTTCTTGACTCTGTCTTGACACCGGGCTCAGGCGGGGGAGGAGGAGAGAGTGTAGGTAGATGCTACGCAAGTCTACTGGCACTATAAACCCCTGCGTAAGTCACCGTCCCTGCTCCCACAATGCAGTCTGTGGGGCACACGGTGGTCATCGCCGAAATCGACGGACGAACTGTCGTCGTGTGTGTGTGTGTGTGTGTGTGTGTGTGGGTGTCAGCGGTGGGTCCACGTGATGGTCGTAGTGGTCGCTCACTTGCTTGCAGGTGAGACTACGCCTAGCGTCCATTTGCTGGCACCTAACTCTCACCTGTGGCTCCACGTAGCTGGGCTCTGCTCAGCGGCCACACCCTGGGCAACCGTCGGGACCGGCGGTCTAAACCAGGTGAGGGTATCCGTGCGTGCACCTGCACACGCGGTACTGTGGTCTCCGCTGGCCGGATGGATCTTCGCGCCGACATCGTCGAGACGAGGCTCTGCTTGACCATCGAGGGTGCCACCAGGTAAGTTCTTCTTCAGGTAAGTGAATTGGCTTTGTTTCTTCCTTTTGTCTGTTGAAGTTCCGTGTGGCCTGCTGCTCTTGTTGCCTGCCCTCTATATGTTAGTCTGTCTGTTATTATCTGGATGAAACTCTTGATGCCTGCTGCGACTGTCTGTCTGTCAATCTATGCCTCTCTCTGTTAATAGCTAGGTGTTACAATGCTTGATCTTGAAGGATACCCTCTGACTTCTGTCTCTGACTTATGACTGTGTCTGCTTGTCCACTCTAGCTAGCTGTAAGTCCCATAGCGTTCTATTGTGTGTATCATCTCAACCACTTCATCACCATCACCACCAAGGTCCCAGGCTAATTCGGGTCGTTTTCTCACTAACAAAAAGTCGTGGCCCCATAGTGGAGTTCGGCAGCCGTCTAGGATAAACGGACAGCCCTATTCAGGTATGCGCTGCCTACCCTCGCGAGGGGGACGGGGCTAGAGAAGGTGCCCTAAAGATCGCTGGGAATCACGCTGTCTGTAGGCTAGCCGTGGCCGCAGACAAAACACACACGGTCGAAACAGCCAAAACCGAAACAACAACAACAATCACTCTCTTACTCTTCCAACCTATTCTTCTTCTTCTCCTCCTCCTAGTTTTCGCCGCCGCAGTCGCCAGACTGGCAGGGTGAGCCCGCTCACTCTGGCAGCCAGGAATGTTCGTTCCCTTTGAGACAATCCGAGCAGCAAACGACCGGAACGGAGGACGGCGCTAGTGGCACGGGAACTGGCGCGCTACAAGGTGGACATCGCCGCACTCAGCGAGACCCGATTCTCCGAACAAGGCCAACTGGAGGAGGTGGGTGCCGGTTACACCTTCTTCTGGAGTGGTCGACCCAGGGCAGAGCGACGAGACGCGGGTGTCGCCTTCGCCATCCGGAACGACATCGTGGGACAACTGCCCTGTTTGCGGCAGGGCATCAACGATCGCCTGATGAGCCTCTGTCTGCCTATCCGGCGGGGGGGGGGGGGCAATTCGCCCCCATCATCAGCGCCTACGCTCCGCCGATGAGCAGTCCCGACGCCGCCGCAGGAGACAAATTCTACGAGGACCTGCACGCCCTCTTGGCGACTGTGTCGAAGGCGGACAAGTTGGTTGGCCTCGGTGACTTCAACGTCCGCATCGGCACAGACCATACTGCCTGGAGAGGAGTGCTGGGTCCTCACGGTCTCCGCGGCTCAAAAGATGATGGTCTACTGCTGCTCTGCACCTGCGCAGAACACCGCCTTATCCTGACGAACACGTTCTTCTGTCTGCCGGAGCGAAAGAAGGCCACCTGGAGGCATCCTCGGTTGCGTCAATGGCACCTGCTGGACTACGTCCTCGTCCGGAGGCGAGATCAGCGAGACGTGCTAGTGACGAAGGCGATCGCAGGTGCTGACGGGTGGACCGACCATCGCCTCGTCATCCCGAAGATGCGTATTCGCCTACAACCTCGCAGGAGACCACAAGGTAAGCGACCCCCAGGTAAGCTGAATGTTGCCTGGTTGTCTCTGCCCACTCACCATCCTCATTTCAGCGATGAGCTAGCTCAACGGCTAGACAACCTCCGTATCGCTGCCGCCGACGACGCCGACGTAACTGCCGCGAACGCCTCCGTGGAGAGCCGCTGGAGTCTACTGCGAGACCTGGTCCAGTCGACGGCGCTCGCCGTCCTCGGTCGCGCTCCCCGCCAACACCAGGACTGGTTCGACGAAAACGACGCCGCCATCAGAAATCTGCTTGCTGAGAAGAACCGCCTGCACAAAGCCTACGTTGATCACCCCACAGAGGACAACAAAGCTGCTTTCTACCGTAGTGGCCGCCAGCTTCAACAACGACTGCGCGAGATGCAGGACGCCTGGACTGCTCGCAAAGCTGAGGAGATCCAAGGCTACGCGGACCGCAACGAATGGAAGAACTTCTTCTCCGCGATCAAAGCTGTCTACGGTCCGCCGACGAAGGGCACTGCTCCTCTCCTCAGCGCCGACTGCAGCACTCTCCTGACTGAGAAGACGCAAATCCTACAGCGATGGGCCGAGCATTTCCGAGGCGTCCTCAACCGCCCCTCCGTCATCTCCGACGCCGCCATCGAGCGTTTGCCGCAAGTGGAGACCAACGTGAACCTCAACCTCCCGCCATCTCTCCAGGAAACGATCAGGGCCGTGCAGCAGCTCTCCAGCGGGAAAGCACCCGGATCGGACGCGATCCCTGCTGAGGTCTACAAGCACGGAGGTCCCCAACTCATGGATCACCTGACTGCGCTCTTCCAGGAGATGTGGCGTCAAGGCGAAGTCCCGCAAGACTTCAAAGACGCACCAATCGTGCACCTATACAAGCGAAAAGGGAATCGCCAAGTATGCGACAACCACCGCGGCATCTCCCTGCTGAACATTGCTAGGAAGATCTTGGCTCGCATCCTTCTCAATCGCCTCAATAACCATCTCGAACAGGGTCTTCTGCCGGAAAGCCAATGCGGCTTCCGTCGTCATCGTGGGACCACGGATATGATCTTCGCCGCCCGTCAACTTCAGGACAAGCGCCAGGAGATGCGGACCCACCCGTACTCCACCTTCGTGGACCTGACGAAGGCCTTCGACACGGTGAACCGTGAAGGACTGTGGAAGATCATGCAGAAATTCGGCTGTCCGGAGCGATTCACTCAGATGGTGCGTCAGCTGCACGACGGTATGATGGCGCGAGTCACGGACAACGGAGCTGTCTCAGAGGCATTCGCAGTGACCAACGGAGTGAAGCAGGGCTGTGTGCTGGCGCCTATCCTCTTCAGTCTTATGTTCTCTGCCGTGCTGATGGACGCCTACCGCGACGAACGCCCTGGAATCCGCATCGCCTACATGACGGACGTTCATCTCCTGAATCAACGGCGGATGCACTTCCAATCGCGCGTATCCACAACCACAGTGCTCGAACTCCTCTTCGCCGACGACTGCGCCCTGAACACCACCACGGAAGATGAGATGCGATGACCGATGAGATGAGCATACGATGCGATGAGATGAGATGAGCATGGACCTGTTCTCCGCTGCCTGCGAGAACTTCGGTGTGGTCATTAACAAGCAGAAGACGGTGGTGATTAGACAACCGCCACCCAACTTAGCCGCAGCATCCCAACGCGCCGCCGCAACTCAGCGTGAACGGAACCCAACTGCAAGTGGTGGAGAACTTCCCGTACCTGGGCAGTACTCTCTCCCGCAACACCAAGATCGATGACGAAGTCGCCAACAGGATCTCGAAAGCCAGTCAAGCCTTCGGTCGCCTCCAAAGCACAGTTTGGAATCGCCACGGTCTTCAGCTGAGCACGAAGCTGAAGATGTACAAGGCCGTCGTCCTGCCGACGCTACTGTACGGAGCAGAGACCAGGACGGTGTACACGAGGCTGGCACGCCGACTAAACCACTTCCACCTCAGTTGTCTTCGTCGCATCCTGAGGCTGAAATGGCAGGATCGCATCCCCGATACTGATGTGCTGGAACGAACGGGAATCCTGAGCATATACTCCATATTGAGACAAATGCAGCTGCGCTGGAGCGGCCAACTGGTGCGCATGGACGACGAGCGACTACCCAAACGACTCTTCTACGCAGACGTCGCGACGGGTTCTCGTCGTCAAGGAGGCCAAATTCGCCAGTACAAGGATACCTTGAAATCCTCCCTGAAGCAACTGCAAATCAACCCGACCATCTGGGAAGAGCTCGCCCGCGATCGTCCGACATGGAGGAGAACAGTGAAGACGGGCGCTGCTATCCACGAAGCCAACCGCATCGCCGCCACCAAAGCGAAACGTGAAGCCCGCAAATCACAACTTCGCCCAGTACGCAACGCCGCCGCACAACCGCTTCCCACGGGTCCTCGATGTCAACGGGCATTCCGGACTCGAATCGGCCTTGTTGGACATCTTCGAATCAACTGCGCCTCTCGAACTACACCAATCGTCGTCCCCCCGCCCGCCTCTTCCTCGTCCTCTCTGCCGCCAAATAACTGACAATTCTTCTGTACCACCAGTTCCATCCTCCTCCTCCTCCTCCTCCTCCTCCTCCTCCTCCTTCACTGCCCCATCGACGGCCGCTCAGGCGTCTGTCGTTCAAGGAGACACCGCACACATTCCTGACACAACACCAGACATCACCCCTGCAGCCTCCGACTTCAGACGTGAGGACCAGGACTACACCTGCCCTCACTGCGATCGCACCTTCACCTCACGCATCGGCCTGGTCGGTCACTTGCGAATCCATCGCCCAGAGACTGGCGAACCAGTGCCTGGGGCACCAAACTACACCCACCAAGCTCGACTCAACTGCCCACACTGACCTCGCACCTTCAGGCATCGCATGGGTCTATTCGGCCACATGCGCATCCCCGACGACCTGCGGTAGACAACCACCGGTTACACCACACATTCACACACTCCCTACCCTCCTCCACCATCACCACCACACATCAACACTCACCCACCGCATGCACCAAACTACCACCTACCACGCAAGTGGGAAGTGTGCATCTCGCCTCGGTCCCCATGCGGCTTCGGCTGCACGGGTGACCTGAGTCCGAGACTATCCCGACACGTCAAGCGTCGTGGATAGGACGGCTGCTAATTGACGCCCGCTCTCGGTTCACGCAGCTCGTCGAGTTGTGTGTGTGTGTGTGTGTGTGTGTGTGTGTGTGTTGTGTGCAGTGGCGGACTGGTGGGCTGGGGACGGGCTAAAGCAGCACCTTCCATGGCCCTCTCACGCAAGTGAGAGACACGCCGTTCAACCCCCGTTGTGTGTAATCCTGGTGTTTGTGTGTATGGGGGGGGGGACAAGGTCGTGCTGTGGCGCGCGCAGGCATTGTCAGTCGACCGTGCCAGCCACCGCGCCCATTTCCCACTCCAGTCTGCTGACCGGCTCGGACAGCGGCTGGGGTGTGGAAATGAGAAGAGAGAGTGAGGTCGATGACTCAGCGCAATTTCCTCACTATAATCAATCTGACGCGCTTGAAGCTATCACGGTGCGCTAAAAGCCGTGGCTTGGAAGGTTGCCAACTGACGGGGTAACTTGGACCTCCTCCTTGACCGGTGGTGGTCTGAGAGTCAGGCTGCAATGGCTTCTTTTTAATGTGGCCTTTATGGCATTCCCATCACAGTGTGGGATCCGAGCCAGGCGTTGGCAGCACGCTTAGGTGCGGCTTCGGCCGTGCCAGCCTCCAAATCTCCCTTGTGTTGGTCGAAATCCTGGTTATTTGTTGTGTGGACCAGGGGGTGCGGTGGAACGCCTAGGTGAGGATCCGTCCGAGCCATCCACCTGCGGCCTCCCCCGTCTCCGGTCTTCTTGACTCTGTCTTGACACCGAGCTCAGGCGGGGGGGGGGAGGAGAGAGTGTAGGTAGATGCTACGCAAGTCTACTGGCACTATAAACCCCTGCGCAAGTCACCGTCCCTGCTCCCACCTGCTGTGGGGCACACGGTGGACATCGTCGAAATCGACGGTCGAACTGTCGAATGTGTATGTGTGTGTGTGTGGCACTCGTAGACGGATTGTCTAGCTTTGTCGGACACTGAGTCCAACCCTATCATTAGCTGATTGACAGGCTCGGACAGTCGACCGGTGAATGGAAGAGGGACGATAGAGTCACCATTGTAAGTTAGCGCATTTTGTACTATAACTGACCTAACGCGATAGTGTCTATTACTCAAAGGTTGCCATTTAACAGGATAACACGGTTTTTCTCAGAACTGAGATTCAGAATCTGACAGATCCCTCTTAATATGCCTTTTATGGCACTCCGATATCCGAGCTGTTCATTCAGTGGACGCGAGGTTGTGTGTGGCAGGCGTAGACAGACTGTTTAACCCTGTCAGTCACTGACTCGGATCCACCTCCGGTCGTCTCGATATTTTGTCGCCACCGGACAAGATAGGTGACGAAGGGAGGAGAGCGGTAGATGCTATGTGAGGCTGCCCCATGACAGACTAATTCTTGTGCGAGTCCCCAGTGTTGCACCAACTCCTTGGGGCACTCAGTGACCAACTTTGCTTGTCAGGGCCGAACTGTTGGTTTGCACTACCCAGGGAATGGACTGTCCAATGATTTGCGCCGCATTAGCCGAGGGGCAGCTATCTCAAGTGGGGAGGGGGACGTCAGCGTCTATGTGGATACTCGTGTGTCTGAGCTGACAGGTGATCGTCTGAATCTTGATCGACAGACGTGGCTTGGATAGCAACCAACTCGCGGGATAACTCAGTCCTCCCTCTGGACAGAAAGTCGGACCGGAATGCTCCTTCTTTAAATGGCCTCAGATGAGATTCAAGCCGTCTAGCTTCTTGTATCTGTGAAACCGTGCGATCTTGTTCGCGGACCAGCGGCACGTGACACGTGGAGGCGGGTTATTTAGTTCTGTGGATAACTGCTGCCGATCCCGCCTCCGGTCTCCTTGACTCCGTCTTGACACCAGACTCAGGTAGATGTGAGGAGAAGAGAGTGCGGTAGATGTAATTCAAATTTGCTACGCGGGAGTCACCGTACTTGCGCCCATCCTGCCGTAGGATATCGTCGTTCACGACGATTGACATGTCATGTTGCATTAACCGCGGGATTGCTTTCTTAAGTGGGACCTGGACGTCTGTGGCTGTCTGGAGGTTCGTGTGGTCATTGAAAAGCCGCCGGTCAGCAATTCGGAAATGAAATTAAGTTGTTTTGCAGCTGAAGCCGAATGAGCTTACGTTGTTTGAGTCCCGAAGCGGATGGGGTGACTAGTGCAATGATGGCGATCGATCACAGTTCACAGAGTCATTACAAGCGGGATTTTTGTTCCTCATGGTGTCTGCGATGTTGCGGTAACAGGGAGAATTCTGGCTGAAGTTTTTAATGGTAGAGGGGGTGCTCACCGATCGTCCTTGTTCTGTTGTGCTTTACGGGCTCTCTCTCGCGTCCATCCAGAAACTGCGCAGCGGCGCATGATATAGGCGGAATGCTATTACCGACAAAAACAGGGGAGACTGAAATAGCCATTTCTGGCTTATTACCCATCATCAGGCGCTCATACCCAATCCCGAAGTGTGGAACACCTGGGGCTCGAACTCGCCATTCAAGTCTCCCTTGTCTTTGCCGGTAATACCATTCACAAATTTTTAAGTTTGCTTTCCAGCAGAGAAGAGTACCTGCGTGGGTTGTAATGTCGACATGGAACACAGTCAGTCCTCGACAGGTGGTGTTCCCGACCAAGACGACAGCTGTTTCGGAATGACAGCTTCCCGCTTACCCGCCATCTTCAGTCAGTCATATCTGAGCTGGGAACTGGGATCTAAAAGGAAACGTAACGTCATGTTCCCTCCTGCAATAAGGCTATTGCAGTATGAGTTTTATTTAGTGGCTATTTGCATTTTTCATCGCAGTTTCCTCATGAACACTAGTTCTTGCTCCGCATGCACAAATGAGGTGAAGGAAGAATCGAGCGCCATCTCTGCTGCTATTCGAATTACTGGTCCTCCTTCGTCATTGCCTAGTAGACCACTAAAAGGACCCAAAACACATTAATCGTGAACACGCCCAGACGCAGTGGCCTTGCCATCCGAGGCTGACTTTAGCGGACGCGGGCATGTCTAGACAGTCGCAGCAACACACGTCGCACGAGCGGCACACCGGGACACAAGGATCCAGCAAACCTGTGAGGGCGAATAGCCGTCCACACGCTCCACGTCCCCCCATCCCCTCTCCCAGTCAAGACACATGCCCTAGCCTTGGCAACGACTACTGCTGTCCGACACAGTCGCTTCGGGTTCTGCACAGAAACTTGACCTGCTGGTTGTGAGTGCAGAGTGACCCACTGTTCCATTCGCGCAAGCGGGTGGGTGGTAAGCAATTCCGCGAGGAAAGTCTGTTAATTTCTTGTTATTGTGGTTGTTTGCTTGATATGTATATGGTAATATTTCGGTCATCGTAAGCGACGACGCCCACCGCTGTCCCACGAGATGGGTCTGGTAGTAATTGTGTGTGTGTTGTGCCCTCTAAACGGGCCACTTGTTTGATGCGCTGGACCAACACGGGCGCCACATCGGACTCTGGCAGGCGTTATCTGTGCGCAATAACAAATGCCAACATTTGCCTGGTGCGCTGGCGGACGCTGTTGTCGGCATTCGTCGCACAGCTGTACCACTGCCATCACCCCATTGTTTTGTGGTCAAAATCCTGGATACCGATCGGGCATAGTGATATTGTTTAGGGCTCTATAATCTCCACAAGGACGCCAATCATCCGTATTTGGTTTAGGAACCATGTGCAAAGGAGATGCCCAGGGACTGTCAGACTGTCGAATAATCCCTAGTTGCAGCATGTGGTCAAATTCTGCTTTAGCAGTCGCAAGACACGCGGGAACAAGACGGCGGGGACGAGAGAAAACGGGAGGACCAGTCGTTTTTTTGTGATGAACAATATCATGGGGAAATGAGGTGTCAGAAAAATGAGGCTTAGTGAGGGTAGGATATTTTGCTAAAAGTCTACGAAATGGAGAGTCAGGATTTGGGTCAAGGACGGAGAGCTGGTTAGAAGCTGAGGATGGAGGAAATCCTTTGACGGTGAGGGTCGTTGCGCGATCATGGAGGCGAAGTTGTCTGCAATCCACCAGAAGGTCAAAGGCGGCCAAAAAATCAGCACCAAGGATAGCGGTGGGAACATCAGCAACTACAAATATCCAGGGGAATAATCGCCGGAGACCAATATCCAGGGAGAGGGATCGAAATCCAAAGGTTGTAATGGAGGATGAGTTTACGGCTTGAAGGTAAAGACCATAGTTTGGGCAACGTCGGTCGGCTGGCGTGGGATGGAAAACACTAATCTGAGCGCCAGTGTCGACTAAAAAATGCCTGCCACTCGTGTTATCACTCACGTAAAATGTGCGACCCGTAGAGTTGCCAGAGAGCTCGGCCGCATTTACTCTCCGGCCGAGGAGTTTCCCTGCGTGGACTTAAAGGAGCAGGGTGGGACACAGCGCCGCGCCTTATCGCCATAGTTGACATGATACCAACATAGGTTGGCGGTCCTGTGGCGAGAGCGGGAACGACGACGGTCACGGCCGAAGGAACGTCGAGAGGGACCAGGGGATCGGCGCAGCTGCAAAGCGGCAACAGTAGCTGACAACTGGGCAATCTGTGTCCTTAGTTCGGCCAGGTCAGAGGTGGACACGTTGAGAGGCTGGGACACCTGAGCAATCGTCGGGGATGACAAACGCTCAACCTCCATCCTACGGTCAGCCATCTCCGCTAACTTTGATATGTCTAGATCGTCGGAGCCAGAGGACAAGATTGTTCGTACCGACGTACGTAGACGTTCTAAGAACATCTCTTTAAAGAACTTGTCGTCGATTTTCATGTTCCCAACCAGAGAACGCATACGACGCAAAAGTTTAGACGGCTTGCGATCACCCAAGGCCTCCTCTTTTACTAGCGCGTGATAGCGCTGCCGATCGGAGACTGATGTCAGGCGAAAAAGTTCAGCCTTTAACTTGGTGTAGGGAGCATCAGTCGGGGGATCTCCCAGAAGCGTCCGCACTTGAGAAAGAATGGTGGGAGGAAGGGCCTCGACCAACTTACAATACTAGTCGGTTTCACGTGTTATCTTGGCGGAGTGAAAAGTCGCCTCAATACGAAAAACATTAAAGCTCTGGCGCATGTTGCCAAAAGTCTGGGAGAGAAGAAACAAGTCCACTGAGAGAAGAAGTGGGATCGTTGGAATTCGTAGAGGTCATGATGGTTGAAAGAAGGAAGGCAAACGGACGGTATGCAAATAGAAAGTCCACAAATTAAAGGTATAAGCGTGAACGTCAAAGGGTCATCACTGTAGCGAGCACTAAAGACCGAACCGTCAATCCCAGACTATGACTATCAGGATAAGACCAGAGTTATGAAAGAATTAACAATCAAAAGTCAAACAACCTGACAATCCAACTCATGCCAAGCGCGTCGCGTCGAGTTGTGGTCCTTCCATTCAGTTAAACAACCAGTAAGTTCAAGAATGAGGAACAGGTAGGGAAAGGCAAGATACTCTGGCGCCTCGGCACACCACAACCAACTTGCAGACGACGTGACTTGTCAACAGAATCTTTACCCGCGAACGGGCTAGGCAGTGCTGGCCATAAACAAGGCTTCGTAGTTATCTCACCGGATCGCTGTCGCTAATTCGATAGGACTATTGGGATTGGAATCGGGCTCCACTGTTTGTCCCAACACCATGATGAGCGCAGTGACAGTGGTTTACGCCTGAATAAGTTTGCGGAGGTGGTAGGCTTGCGCTGCGTCTGTTTCACTCTCTCTTCCTTCGCCTACCAGGATCCGGCGTCAAGCTAGAAATAAGATGACCGGAAGCGGAATCGGCGCACTGCATAATTAGATCAAACAGTCCGTCTGCGCGTGCCACGCACGTCTGGTCCACGCACAACGGAAAACAGTTTAAACCAGAAAGGGACAGCTGCGATCCCATCTGAGCTGGAGTGTTGCAGAAGCCTCATGTAGAAGGAATCAGTGCAGCCTGTCTCTTCGACCTGTGAAGAAGAGAGAGTTACTACTCCCAGTCAAAACGTTAGCGCACCATGGCAGTTCGAAAGTCCTCCAGCTTGTTTATAGAGAGGAAATATACTGAGCCCATTTCCCAGAGTCGAACTCACTTTCTCCTCCCTCTCCGAGGCACCAATCCACTGTCTCAGATAGTCAATTGTCTGATGTGTGGATTAGACGCGGCGAGTGACAGCGCTAAACAGCTCCTCTACGCGCACTACACACACGACCCGCTTTCCCGCACAACGCTCGAGGATTTCACACGAACGAGCGGGCGGCTCCGACTTCATATGAACGAGAGTGCCGGGGTGACCACAATATGAAGGAGCCAATGAGCCTGAATGTCGGCCCACAGTCGGTCGCTCCATACACGCACACAGAGCTAACTGCGAGGCCCGATTTGTAGCATCAGATGTTAACCTTCCGACCCGTGATGATTAGTCTATCGTGATAGTTTCAAACGCGTCAAGTTTTTTATAGTTTGGAATGCATCGAAGTGCCGTAGAGATGGATTCATTAAAGCTGACTTCACTCTCCCCTCCCCTCTTCAGAGGGGCGGTGACTTTTCCAGGTCGGTTAACCATCCGATGCTGTGATTGGGTATAGTGGCTGGGAGAGCTGAGACAGTACTTCTACGCGTGCCACACACACGATCTGGCCATTTTTGGGGAGTACGAAGGTGCATATGCCGACAAATTGGAAATCTTCGTCTGATTTAGACTGCCTGTAGAGGTGGTTACCGGGGTTTGGCCGTTGGGCACAGGAAAGCTTCGTGTAGGCACATATGAGAGTTAGGGACTGGTTAAAGACCGTGCGGAAAAATCATCAAATGAATCAGAATCGTGGAACGATCTATCATTTCCACGGGGTATATCCACTCAGTGAGCGCGGCGTGAACACCGAGTAGTTGGTACGACTACTGAAACATTTACTAAACTGAAACGGTTAGACTAGTCACAAAGGGATGGACATTCCCGTTAGGGGTTGGGTTGGTTAAAGTGGAGAAGAGGTGACTGTAACCTAAAAAGTATACAGTTAGTTCTTAACTGACTCCAGTACTCATAGTGAGTGACCTAATTCGTCCACACAAATACAGTGAGTGACCGATCTCATGAAATATTGGCTGAAATTCTGAAATGCGTTTTCGATTAGGAAGGATTACTTAGTCGAGGTTGTAATACTGGTTATCCTAAGGCACACTCTTATAACAATTTGGACTCCACAGTATGTCGGCTTTTAAATGCACTTCTTTCTAATTTCCTGTAAAAAGCGTGCTCGGTAAAAAATGACTACTGAAGTAGCATGCATTTTTCCCATTGATTTTCGATGGTCTTGCGAATTCAAATATATTTTATAGAAACCATCAATAAAAATTTGCTTTCTTTTCGTCACTCAATAGAGAATCAAGTCTTCTTTATATTTTATACTTAAGGAAGGAGTATAATTAGGTTTTGAAAAGTTTTCTAATTTCCGAATATTTTGGAGCCCGATCATTCGCTGCATTAGCGCTTAGTGATTTCACTTTACAAGGTGCATGCGTTCCGCGTAAAGAAAATCACATATTTTCTATGCTATTAAAGAGATGTCATACAGAGTCCATAAAATCTTGCAATGGATTTGGACCATGTTGTACATTTCATGAGGAGCAGTGATAAACGGCCAGGTACGATGCTATGTGAATAGACATTTCGCGGTCTTGAAAGTCTCATAATTAGAAAATTTTTTAAAACCTGATTATATTCCTTCCTTAAGTATAAACTATAAAGAAGACGTGATTCTTTATTTATTGACTAAAAGAAAGCAAATTTTTGTTGACGGTTGCTATAAAATATATTTGAATTTGCAAGACCATCGAAAATAAATGGGAAAAATGCATGCTAATTCAGTAGTCATTTTTTACCGATCACGCTTTCTACAGGAAATTTGAAAGAGGTGCATTTAAAGGCCGACATACTGCGGAGTCCAAATTATTACAAGAATCTGCCTTAAGATAATCAGTATTACAACCGCGACCAATTAATCCTTCCTAATCGAAAACGCATTTCAGAATTTCAGCCAATATTTCATGAGATCGGTCACTCACTGTAATCCTCGGAGTAAGTAACTCCCGCCATAAACCATACCACTGCCTTCACTCCATAATTTTTTGCCTTTTTTCCTATCACAACCGTCTTTTGCTACCGTATTGGTGAAGATCACGGAAAGTGTGTGTGGAACACCAGTTCAGCCAATATTTTACCGCCAAACTGCCTGTCCAGTAAGTTAACTGCTGCACAATTGTTCAGAACTCCGTTGGCACTGGGGCGCGCAGAGGTCGACGTCAAAGTTTATGGGTTTGCAGCTGGCTTTGAAGTAGCTTAAGGCCCAGGACGGGAACAACAACAACTGCCGCGGTGGTTATAAACTGCAATGAGACCTTCAATCCTCGCCGTTTATGAGCATAATCCTCGTTTACTAGCCACGACCAGCAAATTGCAGTTAAATACAGGGCCCTGTTTACAAAATCAAAGTCATGTTGGGAGTACTTTCAAGTGGAATTGCAAAAAAGATAGGTACTCCATGAAATTCCATTATCACATAACTAATTCTACGGCGCATCCACTACAATATCCTTAGGCCGTTATCTTACAGACTGCATGTGCGGACGCAGGAGTCTCACCTGTCCCAGTTTAAACAGAAGTGCGGTTAATCTTTGTATAAACCATTCACAGGGGAAGGAAAGTACAACCAACCTATATTTTTGTTTGGAGCTTCAGCTTATCTGAACGCCTTCTCATGTCTACATGCCTTACTGGACTTTGACAGTCTTATAGCGACTAGCAAAGAGCTCCCTTGTATAAAACGGTGTTGGCAAGATCTCATTTCGTAGCCGTATATGTTAGGGGCTGAGATTGGCGGTTAGGGATTTCGCCTAGGGGTTGAGGTTAGGGGCTAGGGCAAGGGAAAAGAGGTTATAGATCAGGCTGGGGCTGGTCTACTACAGGTACGGCTGCGATCAACGTGCTTACCTCTAATAGACCTGAATGCTGGCGCTTTGAATAGGTAAACGGAAGACGTCTGCATGCATCGCCACTGTCCTATCCACTTTGGTCAGTGAAATCCACAAACCCATAAGAACAATTTGCTAAGAAAATTGTCATAGTGTCAGGCTCACTCCCTGAAACTGACCAAACAGACATCTTTTCCCGGTTTTCTCAAATTTCGATGTCAGCGAGCATGCATGATTTGTCAAAACAACAAGCAGGTTAGCATTAACGTCAAGTCGACACTGATGCACGTGTTTGCCAAATAAAGTGCTGGCTTCCGAAATGATCCTAGCTGTCTTTTCACTCATTCCCCAGGAGCTTTCGCAGCTATGATACTGATGAAACAGGAAATGTTAATGTGGATTTGTTTGGAGCAAAATTGCTGAAAACAGACCGTTCAAGAGGTTTCTAGTTTCTTTAGTCTAGGCATTAGCAGTCGCCACGAGGGAAGCAGCAATCTTGACGTAGTGGGAGGAAGTCTAGTTACGTAGGCGGTCGCGTGAGAAGAGGGAATTTTGCTGTTTGCGCTAGTTTTTTCCAAAGAACACCAATGTTCTCACTTGGACAAGGACTTCAAGCTTTCGCCACCCAAGCGTAACAGAATAAATAGGAGTTACAGTGGACAAAGTGGGGGAATCAGTAATCCCAGTTCATTTTCTACTTTTAAATATTGCAGAGCCTTCGGATTACAAGACAAGCCCACTTAAAATTAGGAGTTCTTGTGAACTTTAAAAATCTATTAATACTGCATTTTTTCCATTTAAAGTTGTTAATTCTTGCGTGCATAATCATTTTGGTAAATGACAGTCAATCAGATTTTGCAAAACATACTTTTTGAAAAAAACCGTCGCAACAGCCGACCCTTTAATTCTCGCCTACACAACCAACCAAACTACAGTGTTGGAGAAGGCTGAGCATCCTACGACGGTAATAAAAGACTCAAATTTCATGGTGCAGACTTTATAACGATGCATTTGGACACCATTCGGTACCTTCTCTTGTACAGATAGGCTGTACTTGAATGCGCAGACAAGCGACCACACGTCTGAATTTGATTGGTTAGCGTGTGCCGTTTGCACTTTTCCCGGATCCAGCATAATTTCCGTGAAGAAAACTTATAGTACTATTTGCCCATTAATCGCGAATAGGCGCAGTAGGACTTTTTCAGGCAGAATTAAACGATAAAATACACAGGCAAACTGCGTAAATTCGAAACAGCAGAGCATCAGTGGGAGGGCGCTTGTATAAGGCATCTGAACGCAATGCACAGAAACCACCCTATCGTCGGTTGCAAGTTTAACCTACGAAGTAAACTTTACGGGAATAGGTATAGTAAATATCAAGATCAGAACAAAACAACAGTCTTGCGTGTTTATACACAACGTTCACATGCATTTAGTGGGTCTGCTGCAATCTCACTTTCCACCCCGGATTTGGTTATGCAAGGGTGATTAACTGTGCATTCAGGTCTTTCTGCTATTTTGCATTTACTACATATTTTTTATGCTATCTTTCATGATGTGAAGTTTATTCTGGATTGTAAACCTTCACGACCTTCCAAATTTTTAGCATGTTATTCCCAATATTTTAAGCGAGCTCCTGTGCCGCATAGAATGCGGTGTATGTTGGTTATCACAGAAGATGTTTGCTCGAAGTAGGCAGATGAATTTTCCGGAAGAACGGTAAAGCCTTTTTTGGTCTAATTCTTGCAAATATTTATATAGATAATCGTACGCGTGTGATGGACACATTTTCCTGTAAACAAAGCAGAAAACTTGATTGCAGAAAGCATGGCATACATATGTAAACTCCCCTTTCATCAACTTAAAGATGTCTACAGCTCTGTGGAGGCCAAGACATGTTCGTAACCTTACATTAGAGTATCAAAATCACGACGCGCCTTTGAGTTATTAACGCCTAAGACACCGTCCTGAATACCTCATTCAACCAGCACGAGATTGGGCCATACTGCACAAAAGCTAGTACACATATTTTAATTTCGAGCGAAAATCTCCCTGGTGTCATGACTTTCCATTTTTGTTGCATGCTTAAGGTCGCAAAGGAAAACACCAAAAACATCATATATTTCTGTAAACTTCACAATTTAGTAGAATTCGGATATGGCTTCCGTTGGGTTTATTGCTGCTTAAATAACATCGGGTGACACGATACTTGTGTATCGGATGACGCAACTTGTAAAATATGCGTAGATTTAAGAAACATTTTCAATAAATTCGAAACCAGCTCAAATTCATCGATAAAATAGCCACTTATCAAAAAAGCACCTTCATCTGACTGAAAGCACGAAAAACGTATAACAGGTGATGTCGCACTTTTTGGAATAAAATTTTTCGTAAGGAAAGCGGAAGCACCGAAAACACAAAAGTGTTGCCCTGATGAGTTCGCAGAAGTACGTGACACCTGCCTATGTAGACGACTGAGCAGCTAAAATAGAATAGACACAGCACTTTTTATAAAACCTTTAAAAACTTACCGGCGTAAGTATACTTTACGACAGCCAGGTTGCTACGTAATGTTCGATCCTACCATTTTAAGCGATGTACTGGAAATTGGTTGCAAAATGCCCGTTTTTACATTGATTTAGATGTGGTTGACTAAAGCGGAGAGGAAGTCGCGGATGGATACGTCAAAGGAATGAAAGTCTTCATGAGGTCACATATCGAGTGGTCGGTTAGTGACTACGAAATTAAAATTTGATTGGTAGGGTTAATAATAAGCATAGCAGTTTCTGTGTATCAGAAAAACATTTCTTTCCTGACTGCCTTCTGTCTGCGGTAGGTCCATACGCTTCTTTAAAATATTAACAAATACTTTGCGACATTAAGAATTTTAGAGTTCTCAACCGCCATTCAAAAATATAGGTTGTATGGTTCGTGGCTATTAGAATGTGGCGAGATCTCGGACGATACTTCCGCAGGACTATAACAGGTTGGCCCATGTTTGTTAGCTAACCAAACATGAAAACCAAACGTCGATGTGAATGTAGGACCAACACGAAACCCGGCAAGGAATCTACCCTTGTTTAAATAACGTGCCGTTAAAACGCCATCTCTTAGGAGTGTGTTCTATTAATATGTTTCGTAGATAAATACCCATGTCCTCCTCTTTCCAGAGCAATGTCGAAAGAATTGAAATCTTTGTCTGAAAATGTGCCTACCTAACAGGTTAGAATAATTTTTCTGGCAAAAACGAAAAATTTCTTTCTATTCTGGGGAAATATTCTTGCCGTTACTAATGTGTGGCCCATTTAAACGCTCCAGAACGCTTACCATGGTATCCTGCCGTTTAAAACTTACGAATGTTTGAAAATAAAATGTTAGAGAAGCATCTTGCCATGCATACGAAAGTCCGAATGGTTATTTAGTGATGAGTGTTTTTATAGTTACTTACGGAAACTTGGAATGTGCCTGGAAATTTCTGGTACGCGATTCTAGAGAAGGCATTTACACTATTTACACTATGCGACCTAACTCATGCGGTGCAATGATGTGAGTCTCGATAACTATGTTAATGCACCTAAAATATTGTTCCCTTTTGACTTATTCACTTAACTTCATCCGGAAAATGTTCTTTTTGCATGAAGGAGATGTTTGTAAATAAATGTATCTGAAAAAGGTTATCTAATTTTAGCGGATGTCCGGGTTAACTTGTATTCGAGCTGTTTTCTCTGGTAATAGTTGTTCCAGACTGCGTTTGCGCATCGCTGGGTATTTACTCTTAAATAGAGTAGTCTTACATTGAGAAGTTTGCTAAATAAAACTTATCACACTTGAAATTTGAGTAGGACCCCTGTTGGTAGCCCTCCCGGTACTGAAATCGGCTGGCTACCTATCTTACGGGACCGGCGGTAATGGGGGATATACGGGTGGGGCAATTGTATGCAGGCGTCAATGATGTTTATAGTGTATGCCCCGAATTGATGCCCCTGCTAAAGTCGTAACCAAAATTAAATATGGTGAAAAATGAAAGGAAGATATAAACACATACATGGATGCCGAGTATGGTCTGCGGAATGAATGCATCCTAGCTCCAGATTGGGTTCGATGTTCCTGATTTCCGCAAATAATAATTTATTGCCACTAAGGTCACATGTGTGTTAGAAACTGAAGCAGTAGTTGTGTGCTAGACGCGAATGTTGTAGTAAGCAATGTGTAGAGCAATTAGCCGGGAGGGATACCAACAGGGATCCTCCGAAATTTGTTCTATTGGAACAAATCAAGTTAAGTGGGATGTGAATAAACATGCCACTTTCAGAAAATGAGATGTTTTGTTGATTTTAAGATGTCAGATTTGTATATCTTTAAGACTTCTTTAGCGACAGTAAGTAGACCCACCACAGAAGATTATGGTAACTTCTGGGCTTAGGGAATGATACCTTTTATATGGTTTAATTTCCGTTAATAAGTGATTTTAAAGCGGAAACGGCAGAGCATTAGGAGTCTTAGGAATATCTTACTACTTGTATGGCCACTTTGTTAATTTTGTCAGGCATTTACTACCGTACACTAAGCGGTGATGGCGAAAACAGTTCCAATTTACGGCGAAATTTGAGTTCTTACGTTTGCAGAAAAAAACTCAATTTTTTTGAGGCTTTTGGAGAGGAAGCCAAATGCTTCGATTTGCTCCTTGATTTGACCTCGACAAACGGCAAAGTACGCAGACATCCGTCAAAAAGACCATACCACAGCGATTTCTAAAAGAATGAATTTACAAGACAGTTTTCCTATTGACCCAAGGCATACTCATCACCGACTTTCGTTGCTGAAGCTTACTGTTCTCGGCAATGAGATTTCATGTTTAGATAAGTCAGCCAAATAGAATTCAAAGGGCCATTTCAGAAACTAACTACTTTGTTGATTGCGTTCAATAAATATATAATTTTAAAGGGTTTGATAAACACATAGGATAGGACTTATCTTAATAAGCAGTCGATTTGTAGCATTAAAAACGGCAAACCTGTCACCAACATTTCCATTAAACTCTGAAAATCAACGGTATTCCCAGTCGCTAAAAGTGCAAAAATTTTACGAATGGAACGCCGTCTTAATAAGCACAAGTGGTACACTCACGATTGGATGTGATCCAATTTATTAATCGGCCATTGGCCTATAAATATGTGGCTTTGTAAGAACTGTGTTTTCTGTGTCATCTCTATCAGCAAAATCTCCAGCCGCATCTCAAATACGGCAGAACATAGTGTCAATTCTTGTGAACCCGTTTTGTAATCTATACTTGAACTGTAAGCTCTTGTCTAAACACTAGACTGGACAATTCACTAATTATTGAGGGATATTGAAGTGCACATTTGCTAAAGAATTATTCTTGGACAATGTTTTACGTGCGCTGTTGGATTAACACAGTTATTTGCACGGACTGAAGTTATGGGCCATTAACGTATGTTTTCTCACTTAACGCAGTTGTTGGCGTTGTCACCATTACCGCTTTCCTAAAAACCGTCATGTCTGAAAAATACATTGTTACTTTTACAATTTGTTTCATGTTTCTTACTTTATTTAAAGCCGCGCATTATTACGTAGGTATTTATGTCTACATATTTTTGCCAGTTTTTGAATGCTAAGAGAGGTGATGTTCCACAGTTAGATTACGAGACGCGCTCATCCCATTAACATGCCGATTAAAACCAGCGAGACAACGGGTTCGTGTCTCAATAGGTAGGGATTTGAATCTACTAACATTCAGTAAGCAGGGATTGGGAAAGGTTGGTTAAAGACGGCTAATGAGACAAAAATGGTCATCCTACTCTCGTTTTTGCCTGAGGGGCGCGTTCCATAAGCTGATCAGTGAACGTCCCCTCTACTATATGTATATGCATCTAGCGTTGCTTCATGTTTCATTTGCGTCATCGCCAAGGCGTACAGCAACAAAGAATGCTGCAGAGGCATTTTTGGAAATCATGAGCAAACAGACCACACTTTTTAATTTGGAACTGCCGTCAAAATTGTAAGAACATTATGCGCCCTATGGGAAACAGCATTCCTATTCGGGCTGTGTTATATATGGGAGGGAATGTTTGTAATATGACAGGCAGGCATTTTAAGTTGGCTCTTACAAAATTATTATTTTCGGTTCAGTGCTTGACTTCTATAGTTTGCAAAACGTATTAGCAAAGCCACTGGGCAAAGGTCAGGTACTCACCATATCAATGCTGCATTTTAAATAAATAAATAATTTTTATTGAAAACCCGTCGGGGTCCCATCAAAGCATTTTTTACTGATTCGCGAGATTAGATCCTAAAGCGCATAGTTCAAGTATCCTGGTTAGGGCGTTTAGTCTGAGATATTCCTCCATGATTTTTGGAATAAACAACCACAGGATATTCCCGCTCAATAGCTAAATGTCCTACTTAATAAATCATGTAAATTAAACGGAGTTGTGATTTGCTGCGACAGTGTTTGTGTGGCGGCTAGCCATCCTGACTGCTCTGGCGTCATTGTTCAAGACCTCACTGCCTCAAGGTCATTTATCCCTTGCAGCGAGCCGTCCCAGACGAGCTGACCTGAAGTCACACGACCAACAGCTCGGGCATACCTGCGTCCGCGCAGTCGCAGCTGCCCATGCGGCCACTTGAACGAGCCACCCCCTGCAACCAGCAAAACAAGCCACTGGGACACCCCCCCCCTCGTCGGCCAATGCAACACACGCTGACTGGACACCACTTGAGCTTGGCCCACGAGCCTACAAAAGCGGCTGCCACCACTATCTTAGGGACTCTCAGGCCTGACTGGACGCAGTCAACACTAGCCCTGGCTTCGCCAGTGGCCACTGTCGCCTGAGAGGACAACTCCGGGTTCTGTGCACAATAAACCCCTCATTCTGGCGCCTTTTGTCTTCTTCCTTCAAACACGGGATTTGACCAGGTGGTTGTAGCTCACAGACTGCACACACACACCGCCTGGTCACGACATTTGAGTTATTATCATTAGAAAGTCATTTTCCAATCATAATCTTTGTTTATTTTGGAAAAATTACAATTCAAAAGTTTGATGCCATCTCTGACAGAACAGCCCTCGGAGTAACTATTCACAAGGGCATAGTGCGTTAGTGCACATTAAGTATCTGTACCTCCGAAAACTTGTTATTATTTTTGTAGAACTGAGACAAACATATTAACCTTTTGCGCCTATTTTATTAGAACTTACGCCTTCTACGCAAACTCTGTTACCAGAAATAAGGCACTTACAAAACTAGTAGACATTTGTAAAATCTACACATATGTAAGGCCCAGAACAAAAGTTTTACGGCAATAATTAAAATTATTAATTCGTTCAGTGGCCTTGAACTTCCCATACTGGCAACTTGTGGTCGCAATATACTCTAAACACAGTGTATAAAACAAAAGGGTTCTTCCAGGGTTTTTTATTAGTAAGCCCACTTTTTCCCTTATTTCTTCCGGGGTAGATATTACCTTAGAAGTGAACCTTTAACTTGTTTCCGGCCAGGATCATAAAGCAAAATTACAAGAGTTGTTGCTTGCCATACGTTTACTAAAGGACATAAAATTCCATAAAACGACTTGTTGTCAAGTGACCTTTTGTTGACTGCCATATTCAGTTATTTGGAAGTCGTAAAAATGTGAGGAGGACAGTTGTTTTCCAGCGCACATGTACATGACTTTTTATTTTACCTTTCGGAAAAATATACTGGCCAGTGGGCAAACCCTAAATTCACTGCACAGAAGTGTTTTAGGAATATAAAACAGGACGTACAATGGGCTGAAAAGAGTTGCGGAATAGACACGGATTATGAGGGACATTCTCCAAGGACAAATTTTGGAAAAAGAGGCCACACATAACCACAAGGAAAAGAGTAAAACAAGTCTATTTTTACACTTTTAAACAAAAAAACGAAAGTTTGTTTTGTATTGTTTGAACTCCTGTTTGCCTCTGTCACCTGTGTTTATCAACAGCTTTAAATTTGTTTTATTCAAATATCTTTGCGATTAGTGTCTACAGTAAAAAATAAGATCTTTCCAATAACAAAAACTTTAGTTTATTTCTGGATTACGTTTTTACTTTTTTGTCTTCTGAACTCTTTCACGGGGCAAGTTTTCATACATGAAGTAATACTCTGCAAAGCATTGCAGCAAGACGTTTAGCCCGTTTTTAAGGACTTTTTAACACAGACTAACCATATAGTTCTCAGTACTATAAATATCTCGGAGCATAGCTTGGTGTTTTTGACGGATTTGCGTAATTCAAGTGACCCATTGTGAGAGCCTCGGTGGCCCATTTGTGATTTCGAACCCATGACAGCACGCGAATGGTCTACGTGCAGTCAACGCTTAAGCCGCCCGATTTAGGAGACCTCGATCATAGGTCGTGGGTCAAGTTACCCACCCAACACACAGCATCGTATGAAGTCCTCCATCTCTGATACAGTGGGCAGACTGCCTAAGTAGGGTTTCCTAAACAATCAATCAGATGACTGTCAGGCTTACTTACTCAATAGGTATCTGCGAAAATACCAAACTCTCATAGAAAGAACCAATCATGAAAACTGACGGACGCATGTCCTGGAAGGCCCTCCGCGCTATACGTCAAGTAATGTTTCCAAGTAGGTGTTTACTTGCCGAATGTCCATTTGGCAAAACATAAGGATAAGACCATATCCTTATACTGATGGCCTTGTGCTGAATTTCAGGAAGAATGCCTAACCACGTGTTTCAAATCTAGCTCCTTTTTTTCTGCTTTTTTATTTAGATCAAATCGCTATCAACTTGACAAAGAATTTTTAGAATGAATTTGAAAGTCTGTTGCTACTGTAACATTACCATGTTAATGCACACCTTACAATGAACGGATATGTCAATGGATTTTTGAATTGTTCTGATGACGTCCCAAGAGCTATTAGAAGGTTAGAGCCGGCACAGGTGTGAATTTAACGTACTTATAAATAGTATACCCCACAAAAGGAGAAAGCTCCTCAGAAAAATGAGTCTTACTCATAAACTTTCAAGCTGGTTACACCAGCCCATCGTAAGACGAAATAAATAATGAGAGCTGAGATTGACACGCTGATGTTTGAAGGTGAAGACGGAGAAATAGGCAGACAGCCTTGCAAGGAGGTGTGTGCATTGTGCTGTGATGGCTGCCGGAGATGAGGAGCTGCATTGTGAGTCTCATTTGCAACTGCCGTCAAAATTTTAAGATTATGCGCCCTACGGGAAACAGCATTCATATTCGGACGGTGTTATATATGGGAAGGAATGTTTTTAATATGGCAGGCTGGCATTTTAGTTTGGCACTTGCGAGATTATTATTTTCGGCTCAGTGCTTGACTTCTATAGTTTGCAAAACTTATTTACAAAGCCACTGGGTAAAGGTCAGGTACTCACCATATCAATGCTGCATTTTAAATAAATAAATAATTTTTATTAAAAACCCGTCGGGGTCCCATCAAAGCATTTTTTACTAATTCGCGAGATTAGATCTTAAAACGCATAGTTCAGGTACCCTGGTTAGGGCGTTTAGTCTGAGATATTCCTCCATGATTTTTGGAATAAATAACCACAGGATGCTCCCGCTCAATGGCTAAATGTCCTACTTAATAAATCATGTAAATTAAACGGAGTTGTGATTTGCTGCGACAGTGTTTGTGTGGCGGCTAGCCATCCTGACTGGTCTGGCGTCAGGGGCGTGGTGGGGAGGAAGGAATGGCGGCATTAGCAGTTATTGTTTCTAAGGTGGTTCATCGTTATCGGAGATCCTCGTAGTAGACATCTAGGTCAACATGGCAGGTGCTGCTTTTCGCACTAGAGTACCAAACTTCGAGGAATTCCCGTGCCTGTTTGATGTTAGCTACGGCAATCATATCACTACCATCCCACTTCAAACAGTGTTCACAGTCAATTTCGTGCACCAATACAACCGGTAATGGGTCACTTCGGCGGATAAGCGGCCTGTGTTCATAAATGCTAGTCCTTGGTTGTCGACCCTTGTGACCAATATGAACGCAATGGCAGTTAGGGCGCGGGATACAGTAAATGATGTCAGTTTGAGTTTTTTACTCAAGATAATGCTGCCTGTAAGAAGGAGGCAGGTGCAAGACCGGTTTAAATGTCGGGCGATCGCTCCGGGATCTTGTGGTTGGCTCTGACGTCTGAGACAATTTTTTACGAGGCTGATTGGATATCCGTTAGATCAGAATGGTTAGTATAAGCAGGGTAGTCCTCTCTTGAGTAGATACTTGCTGCTACAGTACCAAAAGTTTGGTGAAAATACTTTGGAGGCAGCAAAGGTCCCAGATTGGAAACGTTTGCTCAGAAGACGTTGTAAGGACGATAATTACGCAGCATAAACAGTCACCCCAGGATGCGACTTTTGAATGAGATTCCTATCCACTGTCTGCAAAACCACAGTCGGTATAAATTGACCGCCTCAGCAGTAAGATGTTTTCATTATTTTCAATATCCTCGTATATCCATTCCAGGATTATGGATAGAGATTGTAAAAATATTCTTTTTAACCATTTGGAATTAAATGGCGTTTTCTTCATATTATATTACTTGAAGAAAAGGTATTTCAAATTTTGAGACTTTTTAAATTCCCAAATAATTCTAAAGCGATCTGTTGTTGCATTTGAGTTTAGGGTTTACTGTCTACATTGTGTATAACTTTCATGGAAGGGGGATCATACATTAAAAGACGCTGCAATGAACATGGATCGTATCATTTATTTTACAAGCAATATTTACAAGCAGACAAATGGACATTTCAGTCGATAGTACAAACTATTTTCAAGGCGTATGATGCCATGCCTTTGAATAAAATACCTAAAGAAAGCATAATGTAAGTGAGCGCAATGGAGGAATATTTTGTTCACGTTTGTTTTATAAATTACATTCGAATTTATAAGAGAACTGAAAATCAATGAGAAAAAGCATACTACATGAGCGGCCATCTTTTCCGGGTACGTCTTTGCAGGCAGTAAAAGGAAACTAATTCAAAAGTCGGTATTTTGGCTTGACCGGAGTATCACGGGGTTATCCTGTTGCTGCCCTGCCTTCGGTATCAAAGACGCATTTCAAAATTGGTACAAACACTTTACGGGAAACGATTTACGCGTGCAACAACACAAATTTGGATGCATAGTTTTGAGAAAACAGTTCAAAATGGGAGCGATTTGACTTTCAATATGTCCCACACATAATATGTTTTCTACATACACAAGTGCTTGCACCCGGTCAAAGCAAAATGGCGTTTATCGAGGACGAGAAAGCCATAACAGGCTGCATCTAAGTGCTAACTGTTTCCCAGCTTCCAAATACACACAGACAGCCACACTGTGTCAAGTTCAGTGGTAACAGAGGCACATACGCTAAAAATTCTAGGAACATGACCAAGTTCTTCGGGATGAGTCACATTATTCCGTAAGATTGGAGCTGTAGATGCCGGAAAGTTATCAGCATCGGCCTAGTTTAAGGAAAACATCTTGGAAATTTGGAAAGGCCCTTATCGTAAATTTTAAAAAGTTGTCCACGGGCGTATGCACACGGCCCTGTTCTGAGAGATGCCGCAACTGGTGATATATAGCCGCGACCAGCTGTCCCACTTTGCT